AGGATGACGTGATATGGATTCCAGAAAGATTACTACTGATAATGCATAAATATTTTTTCCAGTAACAGGAAATAATGGTGCAAATGCTGCCAAGTTTTCTAATTGCATATCTGCATTACCTGAATGAATTCCTACACGATGAGCTTTCCAGTATCCAGCTAAATGGTAATACTGCAACCATATTTTCAAAGCATTATTATTTCCATTAACCACTTCTTCTAACGTCATGTTATTATTATTTATATAAAGATGAATGGCTATTCCTATAGCAGCGTGTATCAATCCCAACACATTGCTAGTTGCACGATAGTCTATATTTTGCTCTAGCTTGTCAAGAAATCGGACACCAAGTTTTGCTACCATGCTATAAATACCATATCCACTAAATGTTGCAATCAAAGCACTACACATGGTCTTTGATGTATGCCATTGTCCAAGAAGAAATCTACAAGTTAAGTTTTCATTTGTATATGATTTAGTTCTTGCAAAAATAGCTGCATTACATGCTAAATCAATAATGTTTTGTTCAAAGTCTTTTAAATACATGTCAATTGATTCAAATACGGCTGTATTGCTATTAGATGCTGGTCCAGGTTTCAAGATAACAACATTCAGTGGATTTATTTGACATTCTGTCTCAATTCTAGCAAAGATTTCTGTGTCAATCTCTTTAATTCCAAAATTTCTTTCATATTTATATAATAATTGATTTATTATTTGGTCAAATTTTATCTCCCATTCAGTCGTAAATGCTGATTGACCAAATAAGTTTCTTCGAGATTCTGGATCTTGATTTTTTGAAATAAGAGATGACAGACTGCATGGAAGTTCAAACTGAAACACCATTCTTAGGATGGCATGTGCAGATTGCCATGTGATATTATATATATTACCATACTGAAAAACAATATTTTTGAAATCAATATTGTCAATCACTGCAACATTCCAAATATTTGGTCCTTTAATCAATCTCGTTAAAGGATTATATTTACTAATGCGTTCCTTTTCTAGTCTTGTTTCATATTTCCATGTATATGATACAATATGTACTGCACGTAGTATTGCTTGTAGAGAAGATATTAATTTAGGCTTTTTACATAAAGAAGCCATGGTATGAGTAAACCAGATCTTCCATGAACAAAATGCTATTGTTAGGATAATTGATGAAAGAAAGGATGTAATTTTTTTTATAGTTTCTTTATTAAATTCTGTTTCTTTTTTTCCACATTGTTTATTTTTTCTTTCTCTAACTATATATTTCTGTTTCTCAATAGATCCAACCAATCCGTCAAAAAAACTAGTAAGAATCGAAGGAAAACTATTATAATATTCATCTAATGAAGCTGGATTTTCTAGACCATTACGGTGTTTTTCAATGTTTTTACGTAAGTTACATATAGAATTTCCTAGTGTTTCTCCAAATCGTTTACATTCTTCCACTTCTAGATATTCTTTATTTGTAGATAAATTATCATCAAACTTATTAATTTTTATAGCAGTTTTTACAAGAAACAAACTAGGTGAATAGCATGTTGTATCTATGGAAGTTGATTTGATTAATTCTGAATTTAATTTCATCATATGCCATAATACTTTTTTTTTACTTTCATTTTTAGAATTAGAGAGGTTTAATAGCCATCGTGAAAATAATTTTAAAGCTCGACCAACATCATTATTATGCAGTTCATTATCAACACATGTCAGAGATTTTTTTCCGGATCCTTGACGTTTATGAAGATGTTCACCATTGCTCTCAAAACATCTTATACAGATATACCGAACACGATTACTGTGAGTAGCTTTTGAAGAGATATTTGGAATTTCTTGAAAAATAGGACATGATTTTAAGCCCAGACAAGATATTTGAATATTTCTTCCATATATATTCCAATTATGTTCTATACAATCATCACCTCTGTTAAAAAAGCTTTTATATTTATTACAAAGCAGACATTTCTTTATGTGAAGTTTACTATGATCGAAATTAAAGTGACTAGAACAAACTTCTAGCTCAGTTAAATAATTTTCTTCCAAATTCATTTCTATTTCCCAAGTTCCAATTAATTGTGATAATGACACTAAATTAGTTATTGAATTGCAGCGTCCAATTTCTCTCTTTGAATTATCAACAATGATGCAAGGTGATTGTTTCTTTGTTTCGATTACTGGAATTTTACGATCAATATTATGCTCTTCCTTCTCGTCGTTATTATCTTCAGGTAAGATCTTCTCAATATCTTCTTCATCTTGTATTTCTAAATAAATCTGATCTTCTAATAAATTTCTTGCTTTCATTGCAGCAATATAATCATGAGTAAAAATAAGATCATTTTGACTTGTGCTCCAACTCTCTTCTAGATCTTCATCGGTAAAATAATCATCTTGCAATTGATTTACAGTATATTCTTTATCCATCGGAATCAATTAGGAAGAGAAAATATAGTAATGAAATTTTCAAAATAGCAAGTATTTTATTAACAACTTTGTGATTTATTCTTTTGATAGCTTTGTCTAGCATAGCATGTCTTTTTATAATTTAAATTTCTTTTTGATTTTACTAAGCTTCAACTTGTACTCCAATGAAAACTTCAATTCGTACCCGAATGATGAACTAAATTTAAAGAAAACTTTAACTCGTATCCGAATGATGAATTAAAGGAAATACCCAGATG